TCTCAATGTTCTTTCATTTTATGTCACAATTTTCTTCCTTTTAAAAGCTGAATAATATTTCATTGTATGTAAATGCAGCATTTTTTTAAATCCATTAATCTGTCCACTGATACTTAGGTATTTCTGCTTTTGAGTTTTTATGAATGATGCTGCTATGAGCAAGGGAGTACAAAAATCTTTTGAGATCCTGCTTTCAATTCTTTTGAGTGTATGCTCAGAAGTGGAATTGTTGGATCATGTGGTAATTCTATTTTTAATTTTTTAAGAAACTGTCTTAGTGGTTGCACCATTTTATACTCTCCCCAGCAGAGCTTACAGGTTCTAACTTCTTTCCATTCTCATGAAACTTGTTATTTTCTATTTTATACCTTTTTTTTTTTTTTTTTGCTAGTAGCCATTTCAAAGAGTGTGAGGTAGCATTTCTTTGTGGTACTGATTTGCATTTTCCTAATGATTAGTGATGTTGAGCATCTTTTCTTGTGCTTGTTAGCCATATGCCATTGTTAGTATGTTATCTTTGGGGAAATAACTATTCAGTCCTGATCCATTTTTTTCTTTCAGTTTTATTTAAATATAATTGAATATAGCATTGTATACATTTAAAGTGTATCACATAACAATTTGACTTACATACATCATGAAATGATGACTATAATAAGTTTAGTAAATATCCATTATCTCATATAGATATAAAATTAAATGGAAAAAATAGTTTTTCCTTGTGATGAGAATTCTTAGAAGTTACTCTCTTAATGCCTTTCATATATAATGTAGTAGTGTTCTTTATATTTATCATGTTGTATATTACATTGGCTCAGTGGTAAAAAATCCACCTGCTAATGCAGGAGATGTGGATTCTATCCCTGGGTCAGAAAGACCCCCCAGAAAAGGAAATGGCAACCCACTTTAGTTTTCTTGCCTGGGAAATCCCATGGAAGGAGGAGCCTGGCAGGTTACAGTCCACAGGGTCGAAAAAGAGTCAGACAAGACTTGGTGACTAAACAGCAACAATGTGGAACCTAGTTGTCCCACCATCATTTTTGAAACTCACTAAGTTTTAATGGGTTTCAAAAAATTAATTTTTATAAAGCACTTAGAACAGTACATAGGATGCAAGCAGCACTGAGTAAATACTGGTTATTATTTTATCATTTATTATACTAAATCATCATTATATGTCTACTCGTCTTTCCCTCTCAAGACTACCTTAATCTTTGTACCTCCAGGCTTGGCTTAGCACCTGACAGACAGTACATGCTACATGCTAAATGGATTTTGTTGAATGGACAAATGATAGATAGGACTCCTTTGCTGAGGCTGTAGGTAAAGTACAGGGCAGATGCTAGTTTCAACACTCACATTCTTTATGAATTGTGGGTCCTAACCAGAGGGCTTCTCGAGCTTAGAACATGCTAACAGTGTCTGCCTTAGGGCATCTTCCCAGAGAGCATAGCACACAACCCCTTGATGCAGATTGCCTGTGACAACTAGAATCTCTGGCATATTTATCATTTCCACATGGCCCTCCGCATTTGTTTGTTTGCCCTCCACTTGTCTCTGAGCATGAACTCAGGGAATGCAATCCCTCCCTGATATTTGCTTCAGCCAAACCTCCTCTGCTGGATCCTTTGGCTTTCAGCCTCTAAAAGTTGAAGGGTTCAAGGCTTACTCCCAGCACCTTAACTATTTCTGTCTACATTCTTTACCTACATGATCTCATCTGGTTTAATGGCTTTAAATACCACGTAAGTGGTGATGACTCCCAAACTTGTTATTCCAGCCGTAAATCTTCACTGAGATCCAGACTTGTATTTCAGTTGTCTTCTTCACGTCTCGTCTCAGATCTCTAATAGGCATCTCAAACTTAACATAAACAAAAGAGCTTCTTCACTTCTTCTCTCAGTCTTCCTCATCTTGTTGTTGTTGCTGTTTAGTTGCTAAGTTGTGTCTGACTCTTTTGTAACCCCATGGACTGTAGCCTGCCAGCCTCCTCTGTCCATGGAATTTCCCGAGAATGCTGGAGTGGGTTGTATTTCCTTCTCTAGGTAAAAGACTACATAAAATTCTCCTGGTTGCTGAAATAAAAAGTTTAGGATTTGTCCCTGATTTTTTTTTTTTTCATCCCCATATCAAGCAAATCCTATCAGATCTGCCTTGCAAATATGCCAACATCTTATGCCTGATTACCACCTCCAAAGCTTCCACTTAAGGACAAGCCCTCTGCTTGTACTCAGTTTAAGACAGTAGCCTCTTACTGCTGTCTTCCATTCTAGCCTCTTTCAACCCCATTGTTTACATAATAGTCCAGAAGATGTTTGAAAACATAAGTTATCCTGCTCCTCTGTTGAAAACCTTCTAATGGTTTCAGTTACATTTGGATGATATCCAAATTTCTTACTGTTACCCACATGACTTTCTTGATATTGTCCTTTAAATAACAGCATGTTAAAGGTTGAAATTTCTACCAGGTGCAAAAATTTAATGAAAGGAGATTTCAAACCGAGTTGCCAGTTCACAGTATGCAGGTGTTCAAAGGAAATGGACATAAACCTTTCATAAGTCTTAAACTCTGATAAAATAAAAGAGTTGAGACAGTAGAAGAGAGAAGATTTTGTGAGAAATATTTAGAAAATCCTACACTATGAGTCCAACTCCATATTCTACCAAGGAAGACTAGGAATGTCTCCTCCTCCCCTCAAACCTGGTGGTGGTCGAGAGCTTCCATGGGGCCACACACAAAACTTACTGGGTTATTTCTTCTTTTGGGAAACTGACTGGGTCTTGCTTCTGCCTGTAGGACTAAGAGAATGAGAAAAAAGCTGGGTGATTTTGGGGACAGAGTCAGGAGAATATGGCTTCACTAGGACTGGGCAGGGTTAATGGCCAGCTGTGGGCCTCAAGAGAGAGCTGGTGTGTGAGGGCCCAGTGAGTGTGGAAGCTCCAGCTGCAGCTCTTGGTGGTGAACGCCCAGGGACTGAGGAAGGAGTCCTGAGGGGTCGCTCAAAATAGAGAGCTTTTGCCTCAGCGCAGGGAGCTGCAGAGAGAGGGCTCTAGGGAACCTCGAGTCCTGAAAGTCCCCGTGAGGGAGTCGGCATTAGACCTCCACCAGGCCTGGGAAACGCAGCGCCAGATTACTAAGTTCTAGTCCAAAAAAGACCCTTCCTGCACCTTTACCAGTCTCCATCTGCATCAGCCAATCTCAGAGGGGTCGAAGCTATAGTTACCTAGTTTTCATCTACTGCACTGAAATGTCCAATTTCTGACTTGAGGCTGTTTTGTGACTTGAAGCGATCTCGGGACAACCGGCTAAACAAGAGTGAAAAGTAAATTCATATGAAGTGCTGGAGTTCTTCCTTTCTGGCTGGAGAAGTTTCCCTCGCTGAATAAAGTTGGAAGAAATAGTAGAAGTAACCCACATCTTTCTAGCCAGCTCTTCTCTTAGGGACTCTCTTTGCTGGCTTGAACTGCTATGTTGACACAGTTCACTTGGTAAAGACTGAAGGTGCCCACCAGGATCTGAGGGCAGCCTTCAACTGACACCCAGCAAGAAGCAGATACCCTCAATTCCACAACAACAAAGGAAGAAATTCTCTTATTGGAAACATAAACTCCACTTAAACCATTATCAATCATTAACACTTCAGGATCCATGAAGGATTTAATAAAAGGTTTGGTAGAAAGGTGGATCAAAGAATCTGACCTTGAAAGGGATGACTGCTCATAGGTGAGCATAGACCTGTAACAGGAAAACCCAACTGGAGATATATTCCTCCAGCATCACCACTTTCCTAGGTCTTGGCCATACGAGTTGTTGCCCATATATTTAACGTCTTTACAATGATCTGATGAGGAGAGGTGTGTTTATGGGTCCCAAAGGTGGAATAAGAGGGATGGGGTTGTCAATAGAATCAAGAAACAATCTATCATAGGAATTGAAAAGAATTTTATTCAAGCCAAACTGAGGACTACAGCCCAGGAGACACAGATTCAAGAAGCACTTGAATTGTGTTCCTCTGGACTAGAATATGGGAGAGGCTTGTATATAGGCAAAATCCACTAAGTTACATAAATTGTTTGTCAAGAATTAAGATTGGAACTGGCAAGTAATAGTGCTTGTTAAGCAAAAATAGGTTGGGCTCTGAAATGGTTGCAAGGGGAAACCTTGGGACGGTTAAGATTGCAGTTGGCAGTTGTTAGCAGATACTGTTTAGAAAACCATTGTTGGTGTCCTTTGAATTTGACATAGTTCATAAAATTCAAGTTCTCAGCAAAGCAAGAACATGTTTGAAACCCCATCCACGGTGGCCACCCAGCTCCATTTTAGATGCCTGAAACACAGTTTTTTATCTCATCAGAACAAAGAACAAACATCTAATATGACAGGTGTACATTCCTTCAAACTTTCAGAAGAGGAAGATTAGCACGTTCACAGCGAGTCAGCATGTCCTTTGTCCTGGGAAGGGACCCTCATTTTTTAACAAGTAACTAACATTGGCATCCTAGGAAGGGGGCAGGGCATTTATTCCTGTCTTCAAAGTGGACGTTCTAAACGATCTGGTAAATGCACTCTTTTTTTTTTTTTCAATGCTTAAAGTAGGTGTTCCATGCGTGTCTGACAGGCCCTACAACAGGCCGTCCTAGGTGGTGTAAATTTCAAGCCAAATCATGGATAAGCCAGAATGACTCCCCCATACCTCAGTACATGAAAATTCCCTCCTTCAGAACTCAGTCACAGACACCCTGAACAGCCCTCCACATTGACACTAACCACGGCCACGTGCAGGCAAAACCAGAGAAGGCAAATGGGGGGCAGTCACTGGGCCTGATGGTAACTGAGCCTGGGAGAAATCTGCATCCTCACTGAGCCGAGATCACCTTCCTCTGCAGCCTGAGCATTGTCCTTGAGAGGGAGCTCTGGCTCAGATACAGAGCCTGAGCTTTCTACTCACATCCCCAGAAAAGAGGGACTCTTCTCACATTCCCTGAAACAGGGATTGTGGATGGAGGAGGCAGGAGGCCAGGGACCAAGGCCTCGGGTGGTGACCGGAGGACGGGCCAAGACGCAGCCAGCATTCACAGTCCTCTTCACGCTGCTCTTTGTCCTGCTGTGTATCCTGGGCCTCCTGGCCAATGGCTTCATTGTGCTGGTGCTGAGCAGAGAATGGGTGCGACGTGGGAGGCTGCCCCCCTCTGACCTGATCCTCTTCAGCTTGGGACTCTCCCGCTTCTGCCTGCAGTGGGTTGGAATGGGGAATAACGTCTACTATTTCCTGCATCTGGTCGACTACTGCAGCGGTCCCGCCCGCAGTTCTTCGGTCTACACTGGGACTTCCTCAACTCCGTCACCTCCTGGTTTGGCTCCTGGCTCAGCCTCCTCTTCTACATGAAGATTGCTAACTTCACCCGCCCCTCCTTCCTCTGGCTAAAGTGGAGGTTCCCCACGTCGGTGCCCTGGCTTCTGCTGGGCTCTCTCCTCCCCTCCTTCATTGTCACCCTACTGCTTTTTGGGGGGAACCGCACTTTGTATAAAGGGTCCTTCACTAGAAAACCTTTTGGGAACATGACCTGCATCAGTGGAGCAGGATTCTGAAAATGTACTATTTCCTGCCCCTGAAACTGATCACTCTTTCAATTCCTGGCTCTGTTTTTCTGGTCTCAATTGCTCTGTTGATTGACTCTCTGAGGAGACGCACATGGAGGATGCAGCACAGTGCTCACAGCCTGCAGGATCCCAGCGGCCAGGCTCACACCAGAACTCTGAAGTCACTAGTCTCCTTCCTTGTTCTTTATACTCTGTCTTTCATGTCCCTGATCATCGATGCTGCAGGGTTCTGCTCCTCAGAGAGTGACTGGTACCGGCCATGGCAAATTTTAATCTACTCGTGCACATCCATCCATCCCTTTATCCTCATCCTTGGCAACCTCAGGCTTCGGGGGGTGTTCGGGCAGCTGATTTTGTTGGCCAGGGGCTTCTGGGCAGCCGACGTGGTGTGATCCCCTTAACCACTCCATCAGAAGAGGCTCAAGTGAGGATGACAGAGCCACAGTCCATTTACATGAAAATGTCCTCAATATCTGTTGGATCATATTGTGGGCTTTCTCCTTTGGGAAGGAGAGGAGGGGAGTAAAATCTGGGAACTCTTTGAGCATAATTTGTTCCTGGCACACTATTAAAATGTGGCCCCAGAGGTCCCAGAGAGCCAGCATCATCCAGAAGGACAGAATATAAAAATTCTGTGTTACTCTCTCTCTCTTTGTATCCCCTCTGTTATGTGGAAGCCTTTGGTTAAAAAAGTCTTAACTGCACTATCTTTAAAAAAAGTAATTTCATTTATTTCTGTATTTTTGGCTGTGCTGGATCTTTGTTGCTGCACGGGCTTTTCACTAGTCTAGTAGGTGGGCTTCTCATGTGGGATCCTCCCGGACCAGGAATCAAACCCGTGTCTCCTGCATTGGCAGGTGGATTCTTTACCACTGAGCCCCTTACCACTGGGCTTCTTTACCACCAGGGAAGCCCCTTAACTGCACTATCTTACATCAGTTGTCTGCTGGGAAATTAAGAAAAATCGTGTCTCTTACTGAGCTAGTGTGTGGCTGGGGAAGCAGTGACCTTCCTGAGGATAATGTAATGGTCACTATGTGAGCCCCAAAGGACAGTAATTGTGGTGGACAGTGGCCTGGGCTATGAGATCTAATAGTCCTTCTTTCCATGCAGATTCTTTTTCTCTTACCAAACTTGGATACTTCGATTCTAATTTTATTAAAACTACTAGGTTTCTTCACAACACATTTTCTCCTTAATATTTCTGTTGTTCTGGTTTTGATTTTCTCTAAGTGGCAGCCAGACTTGTCCCATGTTTATTCTTCCTTTGGAAGATTTTTCTTCTTTTTCGGATTATCTCAAACTTTTTCCTAAAGCAGATGTCTCAAAGTCACATGTGAATTAAATAAACATGTACTTTCTGTTCTGAAAAAAAAAAGTTTGTGTTCAAAACTGTTTAACTTTATTTTTTTAAGCATTACCGCATTAAATCTTATGTTTAACTATTTGTTTAAAATAGTTTGTTCCAATTACTATGCAGAAGTTTTTAGACATAATTTTGGAAAAAATTTTAATTAGCATTAGGTGCCTCTAAGGCAGAATATAAAAAGTTTTTGCTAAAAGTATCAATGTGCATATTTCAGAGACTAACCTGCAACTGGATTCCTGATAGAAATTTTAATTTCCACTGAGAGTAAAAATAATTTCCTTACTGATCAGGGTATATGCTGCTGAGTGGATATACACTCATAAACTAAAATCTTTGGGAAAATTATTCTACACTTTAGCTTTAACTATTTTTTAATAAGTAATATGTTTACATTGTTAAAAATTCAAAAAGTACTGAAGAGTATATATAAAAAAATCTCTCTCCTACTTTCCCCTTCTGAGGTATTCTTAACAGTTTCAAGTCTGTCCTTCTAAAGATATTTTATTCTATGACAGAAAGCCACAAATACCTAACAAACCTTTCAACTAAGTTACTTACAAACTACTGTATTCCAGGTGCTGTGCTTAGTCGCTCCATCATGTCCAACTCTTCGCAACTAATTAGCCAACTGAGTTATTAACCTGTCACCTGTGGCCTTTACACAAATGGTTGTACGTGATTCATGCTTCTCTATACCTTACTGCTTTTGTTTAACAATACATGAATCTTGGAGATCTACACATATGCACACACATACATTTCCTCACTTTTTTAGATGTACCACAATTTAAAAATTTGTCACCTGTTTGTGATCAGTTAAAGTTGCTTTCTGTCTTTTGCTAATATTGATAGCAATGGTGCAATGTTGACTGTCTCTTGTACCTGTACAAATTAACTATAGGATAATGTCCATGAAATGGAGTTACTGGGTTGAATGGCATGTGCATTTCTAATTTTGATGTGTTGCCCTCTATAGGTTTACATCTATTTGCTTTCTCACTAGCAATGTATGAGCATGCTTATTTTTACACTTTTCATTTTTTTGGCCAATCAGTGAAAGGTGGCATATTAGTATAGTTGTAATTTGCAAGACTTATTTTGAGTAAGGTTTATCATTATTTTATATGCATAGAGCCANTCTCACTAGCAATTTATGAGCATGCTTATTTTTACACTTTTCATTTTTTTGGCCAATCAGTGAAAGGTGGCATATTAGTATAGTTGTAATTTGCAAGACTTATTTTGAGTAAGGTTTATCATTATTTTATATGCATAGAGCCATTTGTTTTTATCCTCTGTGGAAAGCCTATATCTTTGCTTAATTTTGAATTTGGATTTTGGCTTTTTTCGTCTTTTTTCTTTTTGGCTGGACTGGATTTCATTGCTGTGTATGGTCTTCTCATCGGAATGGCTTCTCTTGTTGCTTAGCACAGGTTCTAGGGCATGTAGTCTTCAGTAGTTGTATGGGTTTAGTTGCCCCATGGCATGTGGAATCTTCCCAGACCTGGGATTGAACTCGTGTCCCCTGCACTATAGGTGGACTGTTAACCACTGGACCAGCAGGGGAGTCCTAGCTTGTTTCTTATTGGTTTGTAAGAACTCTTTATATCTTAGCAAAATTAACTCTATTATTTGATAAAAAATAACTGCCTCTTGGGTTCTTCTAGCACTTTTATGCTTTTATTTTTACATTTAAATATTTGATCCCTATGGAATTTATTCTTATAGACATTATCATGTATAGGTGAAATTTGCTTTTTTCCAAATTATTAGCTTTTTGCCCTAACACTATTTATTGGTCTTTTCCTTGACTAATTTAAAATGCTACTTTTTATCATTAATAAATTCCTGTATATGTTGGTTTATTTCCAGACTTTCTATTATGTTTCACTGCCTTGGTGTAATCATATGCCATTATCGTGGCATTTCAACTACTTCAGATTTATGTTCGAGTAACTAGTGAACTAGTCTTTCTTCACTAATATTCTTTTTCAGAAATTTCTTGGTTATTATTTTTAAAATAGTAGTATCTGGTCTTGAACAAAAATTTCTTTTTTATTGTTTAAACTTGACCCTGTTAAGCATATACTTTAACATAAGTATATGTTAAGTATATGTTTAAGACATACACATCCATGTTATTGAGTCTTTTGTTCAAGAATATGGTTTGCCTTTCCATTTGTTCAAGATTTCTTTTATTATTTTCAGTAGTGTTTTAAGTTTTTAAAATATAGATCTGCATTTTTTTGTGTGATATGAATACCTATGTATAGTTAACCATTTATGCCTTAGTTTCCTGTACATTAAACTAGGTGATACTATGTTCACTGGAAGGACTGACGCTGAAACTGAAGTTCTAATACTTTGGCTACCTGATGTGAAGAGCCCACTCATTGGAAAAGACCCTGATGCTGGAAAATATTGAAGGCAGGAGAAGGGAACAACAGAGGATGAGATGGTTGGATGGCATCACCAACTCAATGGACATGAGTTTGAGCAAACTCCAGGAGTTGGTGATGGATAGGGAGGCCTGGCGTACTGCAGTACCTGGGGTCACAAAGAATTGGACATGACTTAGTGACTGAGCAATAACAACTAATTTTAGAATAATTGTGAAGATTTAATGTGTAATATATGTGTATGACATGTTAACAGTACTCATCATAATTTTTTAGTAGTATTATAATAATGCATAGTTAATGTTATTTTAAAAAATTATTTTCTGTATCTTCATCAGTATGAAAATAATAGAGGAAACAGAGTGTGGCAAGGAGTTTTCTAGCCACCAGGAAAGACCAGTCTTTCTTTCTCTTTCTCTGACTCTTGTTTTCTTTTTGCTTTAAAAAAAATTTTTTAAATTGCCAAACAGTGCAAATATGCTAAGTGTGACTGAGATAAAGAAAAACCACTTGTGGTGGATAAGAAATCACTGAGAAGGAAGTCTGATGCTGAAGAAGGCCACTGCAAGTTCACTAGAGGGTGTGACTAAGAATAATTTACTTAAGTAGCATTTTGGCATTAGCTGAAGAAGTAAGAAAAGAACCAGAAGTTATTTTTTCTCTATTTTTTCCTTTGAAGAAATAGAGGAGAAAGGATGAAATTATAATGGAATAATGAGTGTTACTATACAATAGCTATTATCCCTAAACTTTATTCTATATTTTATTTTGTAAGGTTGCTATGCTACGCTATTATATTAAAAATTGAAAAGACTCAAAAAAGTGTTAGAAATCATGTTAGATCAATGGGAAATCAGATTGACTGATTTCACTGATTGACTGGTCCAGTCAATCAACTGGACCGTTGATCACATGCTCTTTTTGGGTAATGTTTTTTTTTTAATGGTAAGTTGGATTCTGTGGGCTTCCCAGGTGGCACTAGTGGTTAAGAACCCACCTACCAATGCAGGAGACATAAGAGCCATGAGTCCAATCCCTGGGTAGGGAAGATCTCCTGGAGAAAGTAATGGAAACGCACTCCAGTAGTCTTGCCTGGAGAATCCCACGGACAGAGGTGCCTGGTGGACTACAGTGCATGGGGTTGCAACGAGTTGGACACAACTAAAGTGACTTAGTATGCACACAAGTCCAATTCTATAATGTCAGGGAAGCTTGTCTAAAACCCCCATCTTATCAATCAGTGGCAAATATCACAGCTTACTACTAGAACTTTTATGAAACATATTTTCTAAAATTTAAAAGCATGTTAAACACTAATACATAAATCGGAATGTGTTAACCTTTTGTGGTGGCCACGGATTCTTTGAGAATGTATCAGTTAACAAATATTTTTTGAGTGCTTACATGTAGACAACGCCCTGAGCTGGGGATAAAGTAGTGAGTATCATAGATTAAGCTTCTACCCCATGGAATTTTCAGTCCTGTGGGGAGTTGGGAATAGTGTCTAGTCATTCAGGTGAGCATGTCATTACAAATTGGGACAAGTGTGAGGATGGGAAACCATGGTGTCCTGTGAGTGTGTGTAGCAGGAGGACTCGGGCATAGAGCTGGTGGGGGTGGGGAA